TGGATGATTCTGAATGTTTATATGACAGTAAACATTTTGAGCAATACTTATTCTCACATCAGTCTTACATGTGTTCAGACTGGCAGGAGTAAAGGTAGAACATGTATGTTTTTCTCCTGCTACATTTCCTTTCACTCAACAAGCATTTATGGAGCCACTGCTATGTGCCAAGATATCATTTATGCAACCAAACTTTCCTTGAATATTTACTACATCCTGGGCACCTGGGCAGGCTGAGGACCTATGGAGGGTGAAGAGAGGAGATGGATATGCAAATAGAAAAATAGAGTCCCGGCGCGGTGGCTCATATCTGTAATACTAGCACTTTGGGAGGCCAAGGCAGGAGAATCACTTGAAGTTAGAAGTTCAAGACCAGCCTGGCAAACATGGTGAAACCCCTTCTCTACTAACAATGCAAAAAAATTAGCTGGGCATGGTGGTGGGTGCCTGTAATCCCAGCTACTTGGGACGCTGAGGCATGAGAATAGCTGGAACCCAGGAGGCAGAGGCTGCAGTGAGCCGAGATTGTACCACTGCACTCCAGTCTGGGTGACAGACAGAGACTCTGTCACCAAAGAAAAAAAGAAAAGAAAATCAAAAATAAAGTGAAATCTGGTCAGCACAAGGTTTAGAGATCTTCACAGCAGTAACGTCAGGGCACCAAACCCAGCTACAAGGACATGATGCCAAGTTGTAAAAATAAACAGGAGCAGCCAGGAAAGGATGGAGGAGGAAAAACATCCCAGATTGACCACTGTGCTCACATAAGAACCAGGGCTTTATGTGATTCTGGGTCATGACTGGCCGTAGACCACCTTACTGACTGCTTGTGGGACACAGGAGTTATTAAGCAATGAGTTCTCATCTGCCAAAGGTAATTAGTGTTTCTAAAGATTACACACCGTTTTCTCCTGTGCTTCTAATTCCTCCTGCTCCTCCCTTCCCATAAACCAGACCAGGACACAGCAAGCTATGGGCCAGGGGCCAAATGCAGCCTACCTCCCATTTTTGTAAATAAAATTTTATTGTCATACAGCCATGTCCAATAGTTTCCTTGCTGTCTGTGGCTATTTTCACACTACAACGATAGAGTTTGATAGTTACAACTGAAACTATATGGACCACAAAACTCAAAATATTTAATGCCTGTCTTTCCCAGAAAAAAAAATTGTCAACCCTTAAACTAGACTATAGCAGCCATACTCTCAGCTATTACCACCCTGGTTATCTGAACTCAGGAAGACATGGCCCCTTAAAAGAAACTTGTAACACTCCAGGAATGAGTGGGGAGAAGGGAGGGCAGGAACTGGAATTGGATGGGAAAGACTGTGAAAGAAGGGCCCTGCAGGGCAAGTGTCATGGTAGAGGAAGACATTCTTTCTGCTGAGTGATTTGGGACTCATATAGGAGGAAGTTATGAAGATACTGTCGCCTGTCAGAGGATTGGAATTCTTCTCCACAATAAAATTGTTTCACTCTGCCTACAAAAAAAAAAAAAAAGTGCAGCAGAGAGTTCTTTTAATAAAGCATCATCATGCAAGAGGAAGGCTACACCTCAGGTTTTTCAGCTGGGAGGGCACATACAATTCAAATCAGAGCTGACGGCCCTCGGTGGGACTGGAACCACCTGAAGAACAGAACGTAATCCACATCTCACACGCCTCCGGACACCTGACTCTGGCAGCCCGATGATTAATGCGTAAACCAGAAAGACGTTTCATTGACTACCTTAGAGTCCCGTGAGCACGGTGCAGGCAATAAATATTTATTGAATGTATCTTCCTTGGGCTTGCAGCACTTGCTCAGTAATATCTTATAACCAAATAAGCAAGAATTGCTCAGGGTGGTTCCAGTTAAATACACAAATGTATGTAAATGGCTCCAAGCGAGGAATGGGGAGTAGGAAAGAAAATATTCATCCACCTGTGTACAGGTTATCCAAATGGTACTAGCTTTGGAATAAATAAGAAAAAAAGAATGTTAAACAATCCCCAGAAATGAGGATTGCAAGAGAGAGATAGAAGAAAGAAGGAAAAAGAGGAAGGGAAGGAAGGAAGGAGGGAGAGAGAGAGATTTATAAATACCTCTGTTTTGAACAAATGAAAATATGTACATTTTTTAAAGGCAATCTTTGTTATTCTCTGTGGCTTTATGTGGGTAATACTTTCATCTGTCACTAAAATGGTTCCTATACTCAAGGAACGGCAGAGAGTTCACTGAAATGGGTTCCCAAATTGCAATTTTTGCAATAAAGATAAAATATGGCTCTCTGCCACCCATTTGGAGTTACAATGCCAATATGCTGATGCAATCCCCCATAAGCCCAGTCACATTAGATTCTGAATGGTATATCACCAATTTGAGCATGGGGATTGGTGTTGGGATTTGTTTATTTAAAACTGAGCATTTATCCTGAGTGCGAAACAAATTAAAATCTTGCATTTGCTATAATATTAAAAGAGGGCAATGTAATTACCACATTCTCCCTTGGGCATCCTCCTCCAGTTCCTGTGAAGCCTGAGAATGCGTAGCTGCCGGCGAGGGTGGGAGCCTTTGCAGTGCTGGAGGTGAGATAAGGCATCTTCACGGCTGTCTTTCCAGCTTTGTAGGGGGAAAACAATTTGCCTTTGGGAAATAATCCAACAAGCAATCCTACGGTTTTCATACAAACACTCAAAGAGGTTCTGACCATGACCATCTGGGTCCAACCCTTCACTGAATTGGAAAGACAGCAACAGTAATGATTAAACAGGCCCACATGTGTTGGTGGCTCTGATTCTGAATTTTCCCCCACCCATCACACCCCATGACTGAAGAAGAGGACACAGGGCTCCGCCACTGTCAGGCCTCAAGGAAGACACAGGACTAGGGGAGAAATCAACACTTCTCAGGGTCCTTTTCAGGGGACTACTCCAGAGATGGAAGCTCATCTAGTCTGTGGTGTCCTGGACCTTCCTTGACAGTAGTCGTGGCCCTTTTGGAGTAACCTAAAGAAAACAGGCAATGCTTGATTTGCAACATCTTGAGAGTTGTTTTCACCCTTTTGATGACCTTCAGGCAGCATTTGAGTGATAGGTTTTGTACCAACAACAGAACCAGAGATTTATAGATTACTACACACCCCCACTATCATATCTTTTCTAAGTCCCTTTCTATAATTCCACTCTCCCCCGACTTTAAGATCACTACCCACTTTCTAAAAGACGCAGAAGGAAGAGTCTCTAGGAGTTTCCTTCCTGGGAGCTGTTGTGACTTCTAATATAAAGGCTGACATGAAGTGTCCTCCTAGCAGCCAGACTCTATACACTAAACACCTTCAGTGGCCCTTACAGACCAGGGAAGGACAGCCCAAGTCCCTAGCATGAAAATGCAGACAGAAGTTTCTGAAGTTTACAGTGATAAAAGGATGCTCAAGGAAGGCTTCATGCAAACAGAGCTTAATCCTAACATGGAAAAAGAAGAAGCTCCAAACACTTCCTGCCATTGGGGCAGGATGCTCATCAGGTTCACCCCAAATCCAGCACACCTCTTGAAGCCCCTCCAGTAGACCACCTGTCGTTTCAGAGCTTGAGTGTCTCCGCAGCTCCCCTAAGACTCCAAGGTATTGATCCAATTACCGCTTGAGGTCACTTATCCTGCTGCTGTGTTTTGAGCTGCTTATTGATGCACCTTTTCTCCCTGGAGAAACTAGAAGTTTATATCCCAGAAGGAAATGCTGTGCTCTACATGCAGCAGGTGCCCAGTGGGAATGTATTGAGTGCTTACTGAATAAAATTGCTTTACTTGTAACCCTGGCCCCAATGCTGGTCTAGAGATCCTAGGAGTCCAAAGAATACAGCAAAAGAATTATGTAGAATGAAGTGGACCCAGCTGACAGCTGGGCTGCTCATCTCTGAAGTCTCCATTGGCCATTCCATCCCATGGAAGTCAGAAACACCTGACTGTCAGAATCAATGTGTGATTCTGAGATTTTGTCAGATAATATTTAAACCCCAAAGACCCTATAAGATATAAGATATCATTCCTTCTCTTTAAAAAATGCTTATTTTAAGGTATAGAGCTATAAACTTTGCAAGTAAAATATGTATAGAGAGATGTCTTTTAAAATGAAAGAGGCAGAATTGATGTGCTTATAACTGACATGAAAGGCTGAAATGAAATACTTATCCTTCACATCTCAGCAACATCTCAGAGGCCGTGCATAAATACAAACATGTGGACACATTCATTCAGATGACACTGTTTAGTGCCAGAGCCCAGGAGTGAGGAGATGGAGAAATGGCTCCAGATATGAAGTCATTAGTCACTGTGCTCCCCTCTTCCTGCAACAAAGTGTCATCCACACTGGCCCTTTGTGTACCCTAGTGTGTCTGCCTCAGCAGGCGCAGGCTGCCTTTCTCCTCGTGAAGTATGTATACTCAGCCACACACTGACTCCTTGATGCTCAAAGAATTGATGAAATTTTCTCCAGGAGCTGTTGTTTGTTGCCAACTTTAGGCCAACGCTTTGTCACAGAGACACATTTATTTCTCTTCAACTGTGTGGACTGAAGTAAGACTGCTAACCTTTTATACTATCACACAGGACTGAAAACAAGTACTATTCTGATCACCATTATCTCTTAATCCAAAAAGAATAAAATACAGCCTTGACATTGAATAAATTTACAGTCCTAATTTTTCTAATTTCACTTACCTGTACCTGGCTGTCCTGTCCCCAGCATGGGCATTTTAATGGTGAAGATGTCTCTCCTTGAATGTTGCTAGATGGGTTCTGAAATACTGAAAAACCTAGCTGGCTTTTCTTCTGCATGTTGGCATTGTGTGCCATATTATAAAGCCTAAGGATAGAATATAGAAAAGGAATTGGAGAATAATTGTAGAAATCATCAGGAATCAAAGGGTTTCCATGAATGTCTTTATTGACAGAAAAAAACACGGAACCTCTGATGCAGATTTTGGTGACCAAATCAGAACTTTGTTCTTTCTTGTCTGTTCCAGGTACATGGCCATCATCCATCCCCTCCAGCCCCGGCTGTCAGCCACGGCCACCAAAGTGGTCATCTGTGTCATCTGGGTCCTGGCTCTCCTGCTGGCCTTCCCCCAGGGCTACTACTCAACCACAGAAACCATGCCCAGCAGAGTCGTGTGCATGATCGAATGGCCAGAGCATCCCAACAAGATTTATGAGAAAGTGTGAGTAGAGATGACTCCCCATGCCAAAGCAACCGTGGTGCTGGGTACCTTCCGGGCCCCTTCTTATGCTTTCTTTCCATAATCTTTTGTTGGTACAGATTTAATGTGTGTCTGCAAGCATTTCTCACGTTCACCCTCATATCAGGTTGATATGTCCACAGTTATCACGGGACTACAGTATCCCAACTACTATTCTGAGCATTTGAAAGGTAATTTTTGAAGTGTAAGATCTAGATCCTGTTATAGCAGAGCCATATCCCTCAGGCCTTTACCAGAGACATTACCCTGCTGTGATCTGCATTTCTTTGCCTAGGAACCTTTTCCTAAGCTTCGGAATGACGCTCTTCCCTCCTGCACAGATGCAGGAAGGTGGGAAATTACCCCCAACTCCCAGCAGCTCTCAAAAGTGACTGAGGGGCTGCTCTGTCTATGGAGTAGCCATTCTTTAATATCTTTACTTTCTTAATAAACTTGCTTCACTTTGCACTGCAAAAAAAAAAAAAAAAAAAAAAAAAAAAGAACACTGACTGCAGGGAGCTGGCACCTGAACAGCCATCTCTCACCCCTCAGGTTGTGTCTGTGGTTTGTGTTTTACATCACGTCCGGGCTTTCCTTGTGGGATTAACCTCCAGTGGTAGCTGACTGCCCTTTACTGGCCACTGTGCCTTCCCTATACCACTGTCCCCCTTTTCTTACTGGTGTTTCTTCTCCCTAATAAGGTACTTGCACTTAAAGATCTTGAGATAAAGATTCCCCTTTGCGGAGGACCAAAATAAAGCACCTACACCCAGGATTTTTCAGCTGGAAAAATAGGACATATGCAGGTGAAACAGACAGGAAGGCCAGGCCAGGCATTGAGAGCTTATGTGTTACAGGTCCCTTCCAGGGCAGACGTAGCGGCCTGCCTGATCACATTTAGGGTTTTTCAAAGTATCCCAGCAATTTTCTCCAAGACTTCTTATCCTTGAGGCAATATTGAAATGGCATATTCTTTGTTTTGTTCTGCTCAAGTGAGCCACAATGTGACATTTATATTACAGTTAGTTTTCTGGGCTCAGAGCACATGGATAATGTGGATCTTTTTGAAAGCCCACTATAATTCTCCAATCTCAGGCTTTTTATGTGAATCATAAAAGAACATTGGTGCTAGAATCAAAAGATCTGAATTTTAATTACAAGATGGCCAGTAACTGGTCATGTGACCAGAGCTCTGCTTCCTATAAACAATTCTCGTGAAGATCAAACAAGATAATGTCTTCTCACCTTGTAAGCTATTAAATGTCATACAAAAGGTATGAACAAAATTCACCAGATAGCAGTATAATTATGAGACCTTTAAACTTGGGTTAAAATGAGACACCATGCTTGTCATTCCCCCCAAGATTTGAGGGCTGAAAGCCTATTGCACACAGTCATCCTGCTGCATCCGTTTCATGAGTATGGAAATGCAGCTTGCCAGAAAGCAATACATAAAGCTCAGACATCGCCTTCCAGACCCAGACCGTGGGATTTAATCGATCAAGCAGTGGGGGGATTAATGCTCAGGCTAGGAGACATCGAAAATTATTCTTTCAAATGAAACTACAAGCCTGAGCAAGGTCTCAGCGGGAGAAAGAACACAGCTTCACAAGCCATACAGGACCTGCGAACATGTTCAAGCCAGAAGGTTTCCTCAAAAGGAAAAAAAAAAAAAAAAAGAACCTCTGAATTACAGCTCGTTATATAAACTGCTTCAGAAATCTCTCCCGTTGTTTCCATGGGCTGTAGCTCAGCTCTTAGTTCTCATGGTCTTTTCAAAATCTGATCACTTGCTACAACTTTTGTTTCAAAATCTTCACAGTTCTTTTATCTCACAACAAATTTAAAGTTTAACTTGGAAATAAAGACTAATTTTACCACAGATCTCTGAGGTCTTTTCCAAAAAAGAATAATATTTTTGGAGGGTCTTATTTTTGAACATTTTGGTGTTTTATGCTATGAAAGACTAGAAAATCCCTTTGAGACTCAACATGATGTGTTGGATTGTCTTGTTCCCATGCTTTGGGAATTTAGCGTAGCTGTTACTGGATGTACAGTTAAGTTTGCCATTGTTATTTATTACATCATTTTAACCTAAAAAAAATGAGCCTGACTTAAGAGCATCTAATGTTATCTATTCATGAAGTATAACATGTTTATTGATACAACAGTAAATCAAAAGAGTACCTTTGTCATTCACTTAATGACAGCGATAGAAACATAAGTGCATAGCATAGCTTTATTCAAACACACCTTCTTTTTGTCAGCATCCTTCATAACACATTCTAATATATTTCTAGACAATTTCAATTTTTGCCATATCTAAACTAATTATATTATCTTCTTTTAGAAGAAATGACTACCGCTTTTGTGGTACACAACAATCCCAAATTTGAAACCAGATGGAAACTTCATTTTGAGGCGGTATGAATAATTAGCCGAGGGTGTGCTCTGAAGTTAGATGAGATATCAGCTCCCAGTCCCATCACTTTCTAGCTGAGTCATAATGGTCAAGTAATTTAAGGCGCTGAGCCTAATAGTACAGACAGTCCCCCATTTTGAAGGTTCAACTTGCAATTTTTCCCCTTTACAATGATGGAAACCTGATATGCATTTAGTAGAAACTGTAATTTGAGTATTCATACAACCATTCTGTTTTTCATTTTCAGTGTAATTTTCAATAAATTACATGAGATAGTCAACACTTTATTATAAAATAGGCTTTATGTTAGATGATTTTGCCCAACTGTAGGCTAATGTAAGTGTTCTGAGGTATGCAAGGTAGGCTGGGCTAAACTATGATGTTTGATAGATTAGGTGTGGTAAGTGCATTTTCAACTTAAATTATTTTCAATTTATGATGGGTTTAACTGGATCTAACCCTACTGTAAGTCAAGGAGCAGCTGTACATTCCACAAAGAAGTGTTGAGAGAAGTACATAAAAATAACCTACACGAAGTCCTCAGCCTAGTGCCCTACATATGGTAAGGGTCTGGTGAGTGTTAACTACCAATGTTAGCATCATTCATTAATCTGGGTTCACTGGAAGATGACTGGCAGCAGACAGTGTGATGGGAAGATGCTTAGGCCCAATTTCATTAATGAATAATTTGTGTAAGCTAATTGCATAAAATGTTTTGTGAAAAATCTCAGGTTGCTGCATATGGCTTCTGGCTGCATGGTAGACCTCCAACCATGATCATTCATTCAAACTCTTTACTAATGTTTACTACAAATACAGTTAAACTAACGTTTACTAAAACATCGATTAAATTAAGCACTATTAAAGACGGGCAATCCAATAAAAGAAAGGACAAAGGTTTTGAACGTGGGCTTCACACACACACACACACACACACACACAATACAAATGGCCAATAAATATATAAGGAGGCACACAACTTCCTTTGTTCCCAGTGAAATGCAAATTAAAGCCATAATGAGATCTTACTTCACAGCCATCAAACTAGAAAATGTTAAGAAATCTGACAAAACTGTTTCAAACTAAGCAATAAGAACCTTTGTCAACTGCTAGAAGAAATATAAATTGATAATTACATTGGAAAATATCTTTTTTTTTTTTTCGAGATGGAGTTTCACTCTTCTTGTCCAGGCTGGAGTGCAATGGTGCAATCTTGGTTCACCACAATCTCCGGCTCCCAGGTTCAAGCAATTCTCCTGCCTTAGCCTCGCAAGTAGCTGAGATTACAGGCGCCCGCCACCACATCCAGCTAATTTTTTGTATGTTTAGTAGAGACGGGGTTTCACCATGTTGGCCAGGCTGGTTTTGAACTCCTGACCTCAAGGCCGCCTGCCTTGGCCTCCCAAAGTGTTGGGATTACAGGCATGAGCCACTGTGCCCAGCCCAGAAAGCAGTGTCTATTTTATAGTTTCTAGAAAAGAAGAAGCTATGCATACCCTGTGACTCAGAAATTTCACTTGTAGGTAATTACTCTAAAAAAAAAAAACAACAACAAAACAAAACAAACAAACAAAAAAAAACCATGCACATATGCACTCAGTTACAACAGAAATAATGTTCCCATCAGCATTGCTCAGCATTAATGCCCCCAAACGGGAGATGTTTCAAATATCCATCATCAACAGAATGGATTAAAAAAAAAAAATGTGGTGGCCCAGTGCAGTGGTTCATGCCTTTCATCCCAGCACTTTGAGAGGCCCAGACAGGTGAATTGCTTGAGACCAGGTGTTTAAGACCAGCCTGGGCAACATACTGAAATCCCATCTCTACAAATAAATTAGCTGTCCCATGGTGGCATGTGCACCTGTGGTCCCATCTACTCGGGAGGTTGAGGTGGGAGGATTGCTTGAGCCTGGGTGGCAGAAGTTGCAGGGAGCTGAGGTCACTTCATTGCACTTCAGCCTGGGTGACAGTAAAACCCTGTCTCAAAAAAAAAAATTTTGGGTGTCTCATAAAAATTTAAAGTGCCTTATATAAATACAAATCAACACAAATGTAGATTATTTCCCTCTTTATAACACAAAACATAGCCTATTATGCACACTGTTATGCACTTGTTTTTTTATCTCAATATGTCTTAGAGATATTTCCATATTGTTCATAAAGAATTTCTCTGTTCTTTTATTAGTATTCCAACTTTTGAATGTATGCTATTGTTTAACCAATTATTTATTGGTGGACTTTAAATTGTCTTCAATGATTTGCTATTACAGAGTGCCACCATGAAAAACTTTTACATATATCATGCAAGAATATCTATAGCATAAAATCTCAAAAATAGATTATACCACCTTAATTTTGATACTTGCCCTCCATACAGGATCCAATTTACATCCCCACCTGCAATGTGTGAGAGTTCCTGTTTCTCCACAACCTTACCAGCAAAGAACATCATCAAGCTTTTAGATTTTTACCCATCTGATAGGAGAAAAAAATGGGAATGGGATCTCATAGTTAAAATGTTCATTTCTCTTTTAGGAGTGGGGATGAACATCTTTTT